TGCAGCAGCCTCAGGGCTTCAGGGGCTCGTGTAGAGCCCCCCACATGGCGCGGGGCAGCGGGCATCGCTCCCCCACTGGGCAGGAACTGGTGAGTCTAGAGCTTTTTCTTGGTTATTTTTTCCTTAAAGGGCTGGAGCCATTGTCGGGCTGGGAGAGGGGCGGGGGATGGGCCTGGTCTGGCTGATTCAGAGATTCGGCATCCACCGAATCTCCGAATCAGACTTGGCCGAATCGATTCGGGACAGTGATTCGAATCACCGAATCAAATCACTGTCCTCCTAATGGTCTGAATCCGAATTCAAAGCGAATACTAGCCGCTTCACACAGGCCTAAATCCCCATTGGACTAATTCTACTGCGCATTAGCGCAGCTGGCAAAAACTGTGCTAATGCACAGTAGTTTAGTCCAATGGGTATTAAGCATCACACAAAAAGCGTTCATCTGCACTAATGCGCAGTAGTGCTGATTATGGCACATTAAGTTAGTACCTGTTATTACAGGTACTAATTTAATGCCCCATTATTATGGCGCATTAATGAACGTGTAGATGAGCCCGCTGTTTATCATCGTAATCCTGTAAACACTGAAGTGTAAGTGTGTGTCTGTCTGTGTGTATATGTATATGTATGTATATATGTATGTATGTGTGTATATATATATACACACATATACATGTGCTTAACTTTGTTACAGTGGGTAAACCCAAAGTAATAAATAAATAAAATAAATAAATAAAGTATTAAATACATAGATCATTCAAATCATTGCAGTTACCCAAGGTAGTTCAGCCCATGCACAACTGTTTTTTGTAACTACGAGTTACGGCAATGACAACCACAATCCTGCTAATCCACATAAAATTACAATCCACGCTTGCTTTCCCATAAAGTGAGAATGGGGATTATGCCACAGATCCAAAGATTCAATGCATGGATGTTTGCAGAATAAAGCCTGATTTTTTTAAAAGCTCAACATGCAGTTCATTAGTATGTAACTTTGCTGCCAAGGCACTATCAGCTAAAACACACCTCTGCAGCTTGTTTTAGCGTTGGTTTTGTCTGCTCCTGTTACAGGGTACTACGCTCTTTGCAACCACGTGGGGGTTTTTGAAGCAGGGTACTGCAGCTTTATTCCAGACAGCATGGAGTTGCCTGTGCTCAGAATATCCAGGGCCTTTCTCAAAATCCCAACTTCACGTAATATCAGAGGGTGGAAAAAAATCTTTTTTCCTTTTTTTTTTTTTTTTTAAAGTATCTTTCTATCCTTCATGATTTCAGAGTCTGGAAATGGGACCCAAATGCACCCATTTTAGCTCATGGCAAACCAAGAGATCTTGTTTTAAGGAGCAATGGAGATGCAGCAATCTTGAGGGGTGGGTGGTTCCCCAGCTCTGTATACTCATGGTAGACCGCTTAAATAAGGTGCATGATGGTGTTACCCCACATTGCATTGCTTCTGAGGGCTGTTGCTGTCTGCCACCTGCACAAGCACCTTTGAAGCCCATCCAAGACTTAACCACCCCCAAGACAAAACAGTATGGTTCAAACCAGGCCTCCGTGCACCAAAATGCATGAATTTCATCCAAGATTTGTGCCAGTGCAGGGATCTGCACACATGCCCAGGGTCACTGCAGGCTTTCCCATCCTGAAGAGGTCACAGAGGCCCCAGGTATTTGCTGGACACTGTTGCTCTCTGGATACCGTGTGGTTGGTACTGTAGCATCCAGCCCGGCTTGCAGACAACTGTGGACATGGAGCATGGGGCGCTGCACAGCGCCAGCCTTGCCTGTGCAAGCCATCACCGTCCCTGGGTGCATCTCCAAGGCTCGCGCTCAAGTGCAGACAAAGCAAGACAAGGGGGACCTGACACAAGGGCACCAAGAAGCTTCTGGAAATGCAAGTGAACTGGCCACGTGCTCCCAGCATAGAGGCACACTGGGCAGGGCACCCAGGGCAGTGAGCAGCTGGGCTTCACTGCACACCTGGAGCCTCCCCCTGCCCTGCCCTGCCTTGCTTCCCGCTTCACACTCAAAGGAGCGGTAGCAAGGACTCGAATTCAGCCCTGTGCCATGGGGCCAAAGCAAGGCCCATGCACACTGGAAAACCCGCCAATTTGGGGGGATGGCGGGTGTTTGGTGCGGGCTTATGCTGGCTGGTGCACAGAGGCATGGGACTGGCTTCAGGACTTGGAGGGACAGGCAGAGAGGTTATTCCTGGGCACGCTTGCCCCTTCCAGCCTCTCTCTGCCTCCCCACACCTGCTTTGCTCTATCACAAAACACAGGGCATCAAAATCCAGGCAGCGGCAACACCCACCCCCGTGGGTCTGCCCGCTGGAACGTGGTCTAGGCGTCCCAAGGCCAGGAAAGCCGGCTCAGGCTAGGCTGCAGCCTTTCTTCCCTAGTAATTAGCCTGACGGATGGGCAGATAATGGTCTGAAGGGAGTGCTCCCGCGTAGCCTATCCATCTGGATGTATTGGCAACATGTCTTCTCGCAACAGGCAGTATTTGCATTTCCCTTCTCAACTTCCCACTCTTCTCATCGCCTTCCAGGAACCCACAGGGTTTTCCTTGCAAACGCCGAGGAAGGCACTATATTGCAGCCAGACGTGACCAGAAGGCAAGGGAGGGGATTCCCACAGCATTTCAATCCAGCTGAACTGTTGGCAGAGAGGTGGGGAGCTTTTCCACGTTCAGAGGAGCTTCGCGTTGCTCCATCCACCTCCGCATGGATGCGGGAGCAAGGTCAGCCACAATCAACCACAACACACCTAGAGGCGAGGCCTCTGCTATACCGGAGGATCCAGCAGACCCGGTGCCTGGTTATCCCGTGTCCAGCAATACAGCCCAAGGAAGCTCTGCCCAACACCTTCTTCTATGGGGTGGGACTGGTGATACCCCCTGGCTCTGATGGGGTGGGTCTTATTTACCCGATGGTCCTTAAGCAAAGCCCCTTTGGCACTGTCCTGATAGAACTGCTCAGGACCCCTGGGGCTGTTCCTGAGAAGGGCTGAGCACCCAAA